GCTGGCAAGGCTTCTGCCCACTGGGAGACATGGCATCCTTTCAGGTGCCTCAGGCCTAAGTAGCCCGTCCACCTTAGTATGCTAATAGTGGCCTAATCACTCATAAACCACTTCCCAGATGTTGACATTCCTAAATTATTGAATTATTAAAATTTCATCTTAGGTAACCCAGGCCAGCTGTTTACTAAGTCACCGTGAGTATGGGAGTTTGACTGGGTGGGTGACAGGCTGTTTGCCCAGTGAACCAAGTCTGTCATATTGAGCAGCTCAGGGTTGGCTGACCAGGACTGGATGCCTTTGAGCCCCTGGAAGAGCCGGCTGCGACTTGGATTTATTGGTGCAGGTCTGTCCTACCTGCACAGACACAACCCCAATTCCTGTTTCTCATAACCATCACTCCCCACCCCAAGGCTAAGTCTTAGGCTCTGGGAAATAGCCTAAGCTTTCAGAGTAAATCTAACCCTTCCTTCTGCCACAATAGGTGGCCCTTCATTACATGCAGTAATGTCACTGACCGGGGAAAGCAGTCTGCTTTTGGATGTGTATTTTTCATGAGACTTTAAAGAGTCTGTGCTGAATTGCACTGACTTTCATGCTTTTATGAGATAGATGGTCATTAGCAGGGTCACCTTCCCCCTCACCTGGCAAACTGAGTCTATACTTTTTTTGAGGGGGCGTGTCATATGTCATACTGGAGCTATAAATCCTCTGGAGGCTCTGGCCTGCAGAGATAGGAAGAATTCACCAGTATTTCTCTATAGTAGTGAATGCTAAAAGGGCCTCAAGTGGAAGAAAGTTCCTACTACCCCCTGAAAGTAAAGTCATCACCTACCAGGGGTTCACACTGTATTTCTTCTGTAAAATGCACATCCCATGAGCCATTGGGTTGCTAGAGCTGAGCTAGAACTGAGGAGCTATGACAGAAAATCCCTGCCAGTGTTGGGGAAAACAGGTCACAGTGGCTAGGCAGTGAGGTCACAGAGAGGTTTGTTTGCCCCAGACTCCATGGGGGAGGAGCCTAGGAGGCGGAGGGGCCCTAGAGGTCCCCCAAGCCCAGGCAGGGGACATGGTGTGGGAAAGGCAGCAGGAACAGGGCCCAAGACTAGTGCCAAGGGGTCTGGAGACATGAGGACAGGAGCAGGGAGAGGGCAGTTAAGATGGTGAGGAGAAGCCAGAGATAGAAGCTGCAAAAGTTCACCAGGCTGTGAGGAAGGGGGGGTGTGTGTGTCAAGAGAAGGACAAGAAGAGGTCAGCAAGAGATCTGGGGAGGGGTTACTTGGAGAACTTGGAATAAGGAACAAGGACAGGGAGGAGTGAGCCATGGATCTAGAGAGAAAGATGGAAGGATTTGACCTTACAGAGCTGAAAGAGCTATGAGCCCCCCAAATAGTAGTTAATGAGAGACAGGCTGAGAGAAGGAAATAAAAGGCATGACCCTCATGGAACCCCTGTGCTCCCCTTTCTTCTTGGGTAGGTGAAGCGGAGCTGCCCTTCATGTGGCCCAGAGCCTGGGGGTGAAGAGAAGAAGGGGAGAGGGAACCCTATTTCTGTTCAGTTGTTCCCCCCAGAGCTGGTGAGTCCTTGAGGAGGGGGAGGTATTAAGGATAAAGGACTGGGAGTCAGACCACTGAGGGGCCCCCAATGACCCCTGCTTTCTCCCTCCTGCCCCTCAGGTGGAACATATCATCTCATTTCTCCCAGTCAGAGACGTAGTTGCCCTAGGCCAGACCTGCCACTACTTCCATGAAGTGTGCGATGCTGAGGGCGTGTGGAGACGCATCTGTCGCAAGCTCAGTCCTCGCCTACGAGAGCAGGGTTCTGGAGTCCGTCCCTGGAAGAGAGCTGCCATTCTTAACTGTACACCTTCCCCAGAACCTGCACTTCTCTTTGCCTCTGGCCTACCTTATTCTGGGATTTCTCCTGCTCCATATAGTTGCCTGATGACCTCAGTATTCCCAGCCAGTCTTCCAGGGCTCCTTTCTCTGGAAGAAACTTGTTAGCTTCAAACATGCCATTGAGGACTTCAAGTCTCTAGAACCACCTTCTTTTTTTTTTTTTTTTTTTTTTATAAATTTTATTGATTTTTTACAGAGAGGAAGAGAGAGGGATAGAGAGTTAGAAACATCAATGAGAGAGAATTATCGACCAGCTGCCTCTTGCACACCCCCTACTGGGGATGTGCCCGCAAGCAAGGTACATGCCCTTGACCGGAATCGAACCCGGGACCTTTCAGTCCACAGACCGTAGCTCTACCACTGAGCCAAACCGGTTTCGGCTAGAACCACCTTCTAATAGATGTCCCACCCAGAGCCCCCATTACTAGTATCCCTACCATGTCTCCTTCCATATTCAAATTCTTCCAAATCTTACCCTAGATTACATCTTCCACTCCCCAAACCACAAGCTTCCCCTCCTGTAAACCAGGGTTCCTCAGCCTTGTCACTACGGCGGTGTTTTGGGCCAAATAATTCTTTGTTTTAAAAAAATATGTTTTTATTGATATTTTTTAAAAGAGTATGGGAGAGGGAGAGAGCAAAACATTGATGAGAGAGAAATATTGTTGAGCTGCCTCCTGCACACCCCCACTGTGGATTGAGTCTACAATCTGGGCATGTGCTCTGACTTGAAATCCTGGGTGCATGGGGATGACACTCAACCAACTTGAGCCACACTGGCCAGAGCCCAAACAATTCTTTGAAGTGGGGGACTCTCCCGTGCATTAAAGAATGTTTAGCAGTACCCTTGGGCTCTACCCACTAGATGCCAGTAGCACCTTCCTCAGTTGTGACAACCAATGTCCCCTGAAGGATAAATTCTCCCCCAGACTGGGAAACAGGCTCTAAACCCCCCTTCCTTTCCAGGAAGTCTCTATTCACTTCATCTCACACAGTAGAGATTAAGGGAGATGAGGATAACAGGTCCAGAGCCAGGGGTGAGGGAGAGTTACTGGTCTTTCTGAGTCATTCTTTTTTACTCCTCTTTCTTCCTCCTCTGATTCTTTTCTGTGTATTTATTATATGTCCCTTGATGTCTCCTGTTTCTCATAAATGTCCTTCCCACCCTCCCCACACCAAGACTAAGTCTTAGATTCTGGGAAATATCCTATGCTGTCAGAGTAAATCTATGCAAGTTTGGATCAAAGAAATGCTCATTTAGAAGCATGTTTATGGCCCTGGGCTGAGGTGGGCCAGAAAACTAACATTTAGTCACTGGGTATAATTAAGGATATCCTCTAAGCTCTCCCTATGTCTTTGGAAGGGGTACTTTTCCCAGTCCTGGGGATGGAGAGGAACTAAATAGCAGGATACCTGAGAAACCTTGTTTGCCCAAGCTCTGATTCATCTCCCTGGTGTCATCCCAACCCACTGAACCTCCCATGTCCTTCCCTTCTCCAGACACGAAAGGCCTGTATTTCCAGGCATTTGGGGGCCGCCGCCGCTGTCTCAACAAGAGTGTAGCCCCTCTTCTAGCCCATGGCTACCGCCGCTTCTTGCCCACCAAGGACCACATCTTTATCCTTGACTATGCGGGGACCCTCTTCTTCCTCAAAAATGCCCTGGTCTCCTCCACCCTTGGCCAGATCCAGTGGAAGCGAGCCTGCCGCTATGTTGTTTTGTGTCGAGGAGCCAAAGATGTGAGTAGCAGAACTTTGGCAGCTAAGAACCCACCCAACCTCCAGGGACCCAGGGCCTACATCAGAATTGAGGTGTCCTCCTTAGGACAGCTGCCTTCCTAAGGAACACAAGGCCCCATTTCCTAACTCTGTACCCAAGTATCTCATCTCCTACCTCAGCCTCAGTCCACACCAAGCTCCAGATCCCAGACACCTCTGCCTTTTCCTACAGTTTGCCTCAGACCCAAGATGTGACACAGTTTACCGTAAATACCTCTATGTGTTGGCCACTCGGGAGCAGCTGGAAGTGGTAGGCACAACCGGCAGCCGGGTCTGCGACTGTGTCGAGGTCTATCTGCAGTCTAGTGGGCAGCGGGTCTTCAAAATGACCTTCCACCACTCCATGAGCTTCAAACAGATTGTGCTGGTTGGTCAGGAGACTCAGCGGGCTCTACTGCTCCTCACAGGTGTGGCTTTGAGCAGTAGTTTACAAACTGTTTTCTGAGATTCTTCAAGACCTGCTGCAGGGGATGGGGAGGGAGGTCTCTCACACTGGGTTCTGAATGCCATCTCAAACCAGTTAGCTCTGCTTTTGTCTGCTCTAAGAGTCTGCATATTTCATATATGCAAAGGGCCCTGCTTTAAATTCCAATCTCCCCAACCTCCATACCAGGCACCTCACCTTTGTACCCTACACTGCCTCCCTGTACTTAACCACACTCCAGATTTCTTAATGCTATGCAAGGCCCTAAATCCCCAAACATCTTTCCCAGCATTCAGACTGTGTTCTTCCACATCTACTAGGTTTCCTCTCCATCCATTTCTCACACTGAAAAGGACTTCCCTGGTTATTTCATTTCTACCCTTTAAATAAATTTTTATTGTTCATATTATTACAATTGTTTCTCCTTCCCCCCCCTCCCATAGTTCCCCTCCACCTGGTCCACACTCCACCCTCTGCCCTTACCTTCCTCCTCAAGCCCCCTGCTGTCCTCATCCATAGGTATATGACTTTTGTTCAGTCTCTACCCTTTTTCTTAAACCCCACTCTAGGGTAGTAATGTTTCATCCTATATGGCTTAGGGGGTCTATTGGGAAGTTAATGTGGATATTGGAGGGTTCCTTCTCCCTCGTAATTGTCTGCTTCCCCCAATCTCCAGAGGAAGGAAAGATCTACTCTTTGGTGGTGAATGAAACCCAGCTGGACCAGCCACGCTCCTACACGGTTCAGCTGGCCCTGAGGAAGGTGTCCCGTTGCCTGCCTCACCTGCGTGTGGCCTGCATGGCTTCCAACCAGAGCAGTACTCTGTACATTACAGGTAAGAACCACCTCCCTTTTGCTCAAGGCCCCAGCCTTGGACAGATCTCCCAGACACCCGCCATCATTATTCCAGCTCTGTGGTGGACCCCTAGGGCATCCGAGTAAAAAGATGATGCCTAGATTCCCAGACATCACAGCTGGTGAATGCTTGTGGGTGTGAGACTCCCCGGATCTTGTCGTTTTCATCCCAGGTGGGGCCTTATCCCTAGGAAATGGGTGCCCAAAGCTGCTGAGCTGAGGGCACCCGACCCCCCAGATGAGGGGGGAGTGTATTTTGAGGTGCATACCCCAGGGGTGTATCGTGATCTCTTTGGGACCCTTCAAGCCTTTGACCCCCTGGACCAGCAGATGCCACTTGCTCTCTCACTGCCTGCCAAGGTAGGATCCTGGAGGGATGGGGAAGATCATTACAGGAGGGACTTTAGGGGTTGAAAGGTTCTGAAGGTCTGAAATATGAGCAGGAATCAAACGATTGATCAGGGAGGGTCAGGGGACCCAAAGAGATGGGTGACATAGAGGGCAAGACCCAAAGAGATCAGCCAGGTTAGTGGCTGGGAGGCGTTGGAGTTCAGAGTTCCTCTGGAGGGAACTGAATGCCCACCTCCCCTTTCTGTCTTCTTCCTAGATCCTATTCTGTGCTCTTGGTTACAATCACCTTGGCTTGGTGGATGAATTTGGCCGAATTTTTATGCAGGGAAATAACAGATATGGGCAGCTGGGAACGGGGGACAAAATGGACCGAGGGGAACCCACACAGGTGAGACTGTTTACCAGCAATTCTCATCCTGACCCCCATCTTTCAATTCCCTGACCTCTGGGTCTCTCCACTTCATTTCCATAGTATCCACTTTCTACACCCTAGAAGGTTAAGCCAAGCAGTATGTAATGCCCATCATATTTTGCGTTATCCAGGGTTGACACTATGAAGTTTGTTCTGTGCAGTGCATGCTGTGAGTGTAAGAGGAATTTAGTGAAGCAGGGAGACCTGGGTGGGCTGGAGTAACAAGAAAAGGTGAGATGTGAGTAGGGCCTTGTGGGTTAGAAAGGATTCAGGTGGGACTAGAGATGAGGCACAACTTACACATAACTGGGACAGTGAAAAGACTGGCCTGACTAAAGGAGGGAGGGCATTTTGTAAATAGTTGGATATGAGGTGGTATATAAGTGGGTGTGAGCTTGGAGGGGTATAGATATGGGAGAGTCATTTTGGGTTCCAGAGCAGGAGAAGGCAACCACACGGGTGACTGTGAACAGGTCAGCTGGCCAGAGTGCGCAGGAGACTGAGACGGAGTGAGAGGCCCACTGGGAGGCTGTTAAGTGACAGGAGCATTTAAGACAAGGGCCTGGGGCTGATACAGTGAGAATATAAAGGAGATACTGAGATATATGAGATATTTTAAGAGAAAATGAACAGGCCCTGGGAACTGATTAGATGTGAACAGAGAGTGGAGGACAAAGGTGTCTCTGGCAGTAGTTGCCTTGAAGAAAAAAGGTATCAGCAACAAATGTGAATTGGAAGGGGATGTTGCTTTGAATAAAGAACATAAATTTGGACTTTCTTGTAGTGAGAGCAGGACAGTAAAGTGGAAATATCTCACTGGCAGTTTGGTTCCAAATCGGAAAAAAAAAAAGTTGAAATGACAAAAGTAGAGACAGAGGCATAAACCGGTGTAGAGCCACCATCATAGGCAGAGGGAATGAAAAAGTTGTCACTGACATAGGAGGCATGCCTTGTTCTAGAAGCCATGGGCACAGGAAGAAGTGATTAATGGTGACAGTAATAATGTAGGAATATACTTTACTGACATGGAAAGATGGTCATGCCATATTTCTAAGTGGAAAAAAAAAGTGTGAAATGGTTTACATTGTATGATCCCAGTTTTGTTTAAAAAGACAATTTACATGTACAGTTGACCTTTGAACAACACAGGAGTTAGAGATACCACCCACCATGCAGTCAAAAATCCGCATGTAACTTCAGGAGGCCCTCCACATGTTTAGATTCCCAACCACAGTTAAAAATACAGTAGACCCACCTGGACGGTGTGGCTCATGGTTGAGCATAGGCCTATAAACCAGGAGGTCATGGTTAAATTTCCAGTTGGGTTGTGGGGCATGAAGGGGACAGCCGATTAATGATTCTCATCATTGATATTTCTATCACTCTATCCCTCCCCCTTGCTCTCTGAAATAAAATTTAAAAAATATTTTAAAACTGTTTTAAAAAATACAGTAGACCCTCATACAACACAGGTTTGATCTGTACAGGCCTATGCCTAAGTGGCCTGCACTTTAAAAGTGGACCTGTACAGTTCAAACCTGTGTGGTTCAAGGGTCAACTGCATACATTTGTATAGGCAGCAGTAAAGAAGATCCAGCAAGAGATTAACAGTGGGTGGTGGGGTTTCCAGTGATCTTTAAATTATTTTTTGCTTGCCAATATCTTACAATGTTTCTATAATGACCATAAATTACTTATCTGCCTTCAAAATAAAAACACTCACATTGTCAAGAGAAAACATGCAGGAGAGGCCCTGGGACTTGGCAGCCAGCAGGTCAAGTGCATTTGGAAAACACAACAGTAGCACAGTAGGAAGAAAAGCCAGATCACAGAAAAGTTCAGGAAAGACTGGCTGTGATGAGAACAAGAATGTGGTCAACGTCAGACCGGTCACGCAACCAGTTCTTCTGCCTAAAAAACAGAGACAGGAGGCAGCAGAAATCAGGAGGAAGTATTTTAAAATAGCCATTTGAAAAGATAATATGAAAAACTGAAAATATTAGAGCGAGGAGGAAGGGCTGCAAGGAAGGAAATTCCTCTCTGGGGGCTAACCTAGAATTGCAAAGGAGAGGTTGTGTCTTTAAGCCTTGGGAAGATACTCCTCACCCTGAGGCTGGAAAGCTGGATGAGAGATTGGACTAGCTGAGGTCTGTGGTGTCAGAATGAGAGAACAGACGGCAGGCTGTGGCCTCAGGCAAATAACCTGTTTTCTGGGAAGCAAAGATGAGGAACCAACAGAAGTACTAGGGCCCATTGGTCAGACTGGGGCTTCGGGAGAACTAATCTTCATTCAGCAGGGAGACCTCCGGGGAAGGTGTGCTGGGCCCCATTTCTTCCCTCTCCTAGAGTCCCTTGAGTCTTCCCTGAGCCTCCTCTGGCCTGGGGCCCCAGCCCCTTGGTGTATCCCCCTTAGGGATCCTGGCCCTGTATCCTCAGGTGTATTATCTGCAACACCCCATCGCCCTGTGGTGCGGCCTCAACCACTCCCTGGTGCTGAGCCAGGGCTTGGACTTCAGCAAGGAGCTGCTGGGCTGTGGCTGTGGGGCTGGAGGCCGCCTCCCTGGCTGGCCTAAGGGGAGCGCCTCCTTCGTCAAACTCCATGTCAAGGTCAGAGCATGGTCAGGAGAATGGGCAACCAGGGAGGGCAGGTCATCCCCAGGATTCTGGCTGTGGCTACTGCGGGGCCCCATTTCCCCAATACCACCCCACCTCCCTTTTCTGCCAGGCACCATGGCTCCTGGCTCTCTCTCTTAGCAGATCCTACTGGTGCTCTCTGACCTCACACAACCTTGGGGTTCAGCCAGCCAGCTCACAGCTGGCTCAGGGCTGGTCTGACGGGGAGGGACACAACAGCTGGGGCTTTTGGGAACCCCTCAGGAAAGGCCCCCTCAGCCACGCCCCTTCTCTCCTCCAAGGTCCCTTTGTGTGCCTGCTCCCTTTGCTCTACCAGAGAGTGTCTCTACATGCTGTCCAGCCATGACATTGAGCAGCATCCCGCCTACCGAGACCTACCAGCCAGCAAGGTGGTGGGGACCCCTGAACCCAGTCCAGGGTCCGGAGTACTCCAGGACCCTGGGGGGACAGCTTGGGCCTGTAAGGAGTACCTCAGCCAGATCTACAGTTGCTCCACGTTGCAGGACCGCATGGAAAAGATGAAGGAGATCGTGGGCTGGATGCCCTTGCTGGCTGCACAGAAGGATTTCTTTTGGGAGGCTCTGGACATGCTACAGAAGGCTGCTGGAGGGGTTGGACAAGGCCCCCCAACACCTGAGAGCTGACCCCCCTCTCCTAGTCTCATCCCTGTAGGGAGAATCTGGCTCTGGCCAAAGGCTAAGGAGAGATGGAGTGGTAGCAATGAACTCTGTGCATGGGAAGGGGGCACAGCGGGGTGAGGACTGCTGGACATGCCAGGGTGGGGAGGGAACTGTTTTGTAAAATGTTCTGGGGGCTGCCCAGGTGGGGCCTCCAATATTACTATCATGGACAAGAGATTTGATGGACAAATAGAATAAATGGCTGAAGTGAGGCCTAGTTTGGGACCCTGGAGACTGGGAGGACAATTGGGCTCGGAATGGGGGACCCAATGCCTAGCTCAGTGGGTGAGGGAGGGCAGGAGCATAGACAGGCAGGCAGAGCATCAGCTGCTCAAGCACCTTCAGCTCGCTTTCCCCTTCCACTCCCAAGACCTGACCCAATCTTCTTGACTGGAAATCCTAGCCTTGCCTTCCGGAACAACATATGCCAGCGGTTGCCAACCTTTCGAACCTCACGGACCATCAATGGTCATATGCTATTTGGTGCCCCCCACTGGATCCTCTTATCCCCAGCCCATTTCTGACTTGTGACAGTTTTCTATCCATTTTCCTTCATCCCTGTGAAGTCAACCTCCCTTGCCTTACTTTCTGTTTACCTTCCAGATCTGTTCTCATGTGTCCATTCCCCCTCTTTTTACTCTATCCTCCTCTTCCTGCAGAAGGGAGACACTCCCTTTATCCACATGCCTTGCCTCCCTGCCCCATTCCTGTACCTCCAGATAATTTGGGAGAAAATGAGTGAGCAGAATTCTTTTCTCTTTGGCCTAGTCTGGCCTGGGGATAGAAGATAGTGGAAATTTGAAGTGGAAAGTAAGTTGGAGCAGGTGGTGGTTGTGAAGGGGGTGAATGCTTAAAGGTTGCGAGTCCAGGAAAGGACTTCTCTGGGTGCTAAAGAAGCAGCAATGGGGAGGATCATGAGTGGGCTGGTGAGTCCTGGGGAAGGACTAGAGGCTCTGTTTACAAGATGCTTGGGCACTGGACAGAACAGGCTTCCAGATGACATTACTTGATGCCTAGGCCCTGATGCTCCCTCAGCCCTTCATTGCTCCTCCCACTACTTAGGTCAATATTTATGTGTCCTTCATCTAGAGAGGCCCCTGGACTCACCACTGTCCCAGTTCCTCTCTCCCTGTCCCGCCTTCCCCACGGCCCTCCCCACTGGCCAGTCCCCACGCCCACAGATCCGAGGCTGCCTCATCTGGCATCAATTATCCCTGCCGCTGCCGCTGCTGCTGCTTCTGCTGCTGAACTCGGCTGGCTGCTGCCTCTGTCTTGAGGACCCCAGCGCCTCTCCCCTCAGCAATGCTGCCTGCTGCCACAGCCTCCCTCGTGGGGCTCCTCCTCACTGCCTGGACCCTGCTGCCCTTCGCCCAGGGCCAGACCCCCAACTATACCAGGTAGGTATCTTGGCACCTTCTGTTAGCTTGAGTGAACTTCAAAAGCCAATCCTGAGGGGTTATGCCTGTGGATCTTGTGCATTTTTTCCTAACACCTCCGCCCCCCCCCCCCAAGATCTCCCAGTTTCTACTCTTCTCTGGTCCCCAAGTGTATCCTCCCTGCTACAAGATCACTGTCTCCTGTAGGTCAGCACTACTCCCCATTTCCTCAGCCTCTGTCCTCTTCCTTCTAAGTCTCCCCATTCACTCCATGGAACGTGAGAAAGCCAAGACCTTGAACTTGCTTGATAGCTGGACATCTGGATTCCAAGAAAGGGATTAGATATTATGGGGGAAAGTGGGGCAGCAAGTGGGAGACTTGGAGTCAGATACTCAAGTAGTTAGCTGCAACAGAATCAAAGAAAAGGTTGAGAAGTCAGGGAGCCTGGTCTCCAGGTTCAATGTGAGGGCTGCTTCTCCCTCAATTCCCCGCCCCCTCCCCCCGCACAGACTCGTGGCATGGCTGTCTACATCTGGAAGTAGTTAGGCAGCTGCTGTGGACTGCCTGGCGGAGCAAAGCGGGGAGAGTAAGGGGGGGGGGGGGGGAATAAGGAGGATTCCGGGAATTCCTGTTGTGTTGGGGGTGGGGACTGGAAGTTGGAGGCATAGCTAAGTTGTTGGCCCTACTTTTTCCTGGTCCTCTCCGATAGTATTTCCCACCTCACTTTCATCTAGGGTGCCTGAGGCCGTCCCAGATCCCTTAGGCCTATCTCCCTCATCCTCAGGTTTCTCTACCCTCATCACCCTATCCTAGTCCTTCCACTACTCCCCCACCCATGCTGACCTCTCCTCTGTCCTCCAGACCTGTGTTCCTGTGTGGAGGGGATGTGACTGGGGAATCGGGTTACGTGGCAAGTGAGAGTTTTCCCAACCTCTACCCCCCCAATAAGGAGTGCATCTGGACAATAACGGTGAGAAGGCCTCTCTGGTCACTACCCCTTGTCAAAGCTTCCAAGGCCTGGGTCCAGCCAGTCAAAGGCCCGCCCCCGCACTGCTATTACTCCCTGGGGAAGTCCAAGACCCCTCCCCTCCGGTCACTGACCCATCAGTGTCCACATAGTACGTGGCAGTTGTCCTCACGCTTAACCCTTAGTTCAAAGCCAGCTACCCCTTTCCCAACTTCCTTCCTGCCCCCTGTAAATCCCTCCATGGACCTCAAGTCTTGTCCCCTGCACAAGCCACAAGCCTGATGCAGAGCCCAGGCGCTCTGCTCCGCACCCTAATGGGGTTCCTTCATGCTCAGGCCCAAATTTACCTAGGAAATGCTTGGGGAAAGGGAAGTGCCCTCTGCCTGGGTTGTGTATGACCTGACTTTTCAGGTCCCCACCCCTGTCTCTGCAATCAGGTCCCTGAAGGCCAGACTGTGTCCCTTTCCTTCCGAGTATTTGACTTAGAGCTACACCCTGCCTGCCGTTATGATGCTCTGGAGGTCTTTGCTGGTTCTGGAACCTCGGGCCAACGGCTCGGACGCTTCTGTGGGACCTTCCGGCCAGCACCCATCGTGGCCCCGGGCAACCAGGTGACCCTGAAGATGACAGCGGATGAGGGTACAGGAGGACGAGGCTTCCTGCTCTGGTACAGCGGGCGGGCCACCTCGAGCACTGGTGAGACGTTCCTCACCTCCTCCTTCCCCTTCTCCTGGTCCCACCCTGGCAAGGCCCCGCCCTCAGCCTTAACCTTCTCCCCAAGATCCTAGGTCCCCATTGCCTCCCTTTCCCTTTTCCCTCACTAACTGCCCCTTCAGTCCCTCCTCCCCATCTTCTCTCCCCTCTCCCGCTCCCGCCACCCCCCTCTTCCAGGCCCCACCCCAGGCGCGAGGCGGAAATGGGTCACCGACCCGCGGGTGGAATGGGCGGCCTGGGGTTACTGGGACGGTGAGTAACTGCCCGCCCCCGTCCGCAATCGGGATACCTCTGACTGGCGTGAGGGGGCACCCCTGGGAAGGGAGACCAGGTTCTTCCGACCCGGAGCCTCCTACACCCAGCCCGGGGCTCCCGATTGCGGTCCCATCACCTCCTCCTGGCGGCAGGAGTCTCCCCTAAAATATTTAAGACCTCCCAAAGGGGCTTATGCCCCAATTTGAGGGGACCCTCACAGCGTGGGGACTCTCGAGCCTGCAAAGGGGACTTCTCTGCCAGATAGAGGAGATGGGATCTAACAGGGGAAGAGGACCGGTGTGGCAGTGGGTCAGGGGGGAGGGGCCATAAGGGGCGTGTCCAACCAGCTCCTCCTCCCCCTTCCACCACCTGCCTGGGTGCCCGGAGGTCCTGCGCCTGGCTCTTCCCCTGCTAACCTACCCACCGTTTCCTTCCCCTCATCTCTTCTCACCCCTCATCCTGAGACCCCACCCCGACATCCGACCTTCCCGCACGAGCTCCCAGACTAGAGCTTTCTCAAGCTGACCGAGGGTCTCCACTACCCCCACCCTGCTCCTCTCTCCCCTCCCCAGAGCACCAGTTTTGCGGGGGGCGGCTGGAAAAGGCCCAGGGAACGCTGACCACGCCCAACTGGCCCGAGTCTGATTACCCCCCGGGTATCAGCTGTTCTTGGCACATCATCGCGCCTCCAGACCAGGTACCCACCCCCTGCCCGGGCTGCCCTCCAGACCTGAACAGTGTCCTCCAGCATGCAGCTAGCAAAGATTTATTGAACATCTGCTATGTCCCAAGCACTGAGCTTGCGCTGGTGGGAAGCAAAAACAGACCCAAACTGTGCATGCAAACAAAAATGTAAAATTATACCTATGATCAGTGAGGTACCTGATGCTGATAAACTTGGTGTGTGTGTGTGATGATGGTGAGGGGAGGGGAGGGAGGTGGAGGAGGTGGATTTTGGGGTCTATTCCTTGAGAATGAGCCTGGACTTGACCTTGCCCACCATGGCGGAGGACACCACTTCAGGATACCTGTGTATGTAATCCTCTGAGCTGTGGAATGAAAACATTAAGAGGAGGATGCGAGGGAGGTGAGAGGAGGCTACTGTAAATATCCCCAATGGAAGTGAGAGGTGCCAAGCAGCCTCTGCCCTGTGCCCTGGCATCAGGTGATCTCGCTGACCTTCGGGAAGTTTGACGTGGAGCCGGACACCTACTGCCGCTATGACTCGGTCAGTGTGTTCAACGGAGCCGTGAGTGACGACGCCAAGAGGCTGGGGAAGTTCTGCGGAGACACAGCCCCGGGGTGAGAGGACAGGACCTGGGTGGGTGCAGGTCAGGGTTTCTCCACCTCCTCAGAAGTCTGACCTCTGGCTGCTGTTGGGATGGGAGGTGCTTAGCTGAAGAGGTGGGGTCTGAACCCATGAGCTCCAAACCAGTGGGCGGAGCAGGTAGGATGCTAGGCCCTGCATCAGTCCTGTGGACCTTGGATCAGAGGCTATTGGGGCCTAAGAAGTTGGGCCTAATGTAGCCAACTTGGGGGCGGGCGCCTGGGTAGAGGCAGGGTGCAGGCCCTCTTGACACCTCCCACAACACCCTGCTGCCGCCTGCAGTCCCATCTCCTCCGAAGGGAATGAGCTCCTCGTCCAGTTCGTCTCAGACCTTAGCGTCACTGCCGATGGATTCTCAGCCTCCTACAGGACCCTGCCGAGGGGTGCCGCCAAAGAAGGGCCAGCTCAGAGCCCGGGAGAGGATGCCCGGCCAGTTCCCCGGCCTGGCCCAGGCCCCAAGCCAGGAGCCCCGCCCAAAGTCAAGCAGGAACGCCCACCTGCGGAGAAACCAAAAACCTCACCTGAGGTCCAGGCAATTCCTGTGGGCCCTGGTGAGTCTGAGAGTCTGAGAAGGGGGAGGAAGAGGTTACAGACTGAGTTCATTCCTGGGCTCGCTCATTCATTCATTCATTCATTCATACAACACTCACTGGTGCCACCTCTATGCTAATAATGGTTGGCACCTGGGTACTGAGACCCAAAGCTGGATAGAACTTGGAACAAGTTCAAATCAATAAGGCTGTTTTGGGAAAATAGATCACCTTCCACAAAAAATGTCCCCCTCCTCCTCCCAGATGCACCCAGTGTCACCTGCCCAAAACAGTGCCGGCGGACGGGCACCTTGCAGAGCAACTTCTGTGCCAGCAATCTGGGTAAGAAGCCTCATTCACATGCTCTGCTCTTCCAGATCTTCTAACTTCCCATCCTGTCCCCAAAGTACCCTCCCCCCTTTGGTTCTAGCCTTGCCCTATCCTCCTGTCCCCTCATCTCTCACCTTCACTCTCTCACAGTGGTGACGGCAACAGTGAAGTCCATGGTTCGGGGCCCAGGAGAGGGCCTGACTGTCACTGTCAGTCTCATTGGTGTTTACAAAACTGGAGGCCTGGACCTGCCCTCTGCACCTGCTGATACCTCCTTGAAGTTTTACGTGCCTTGCAAGCAGTGCCCCCCCATGAAGAAAGGTAAGAGGGATGTGGAGTAGAGGAGAAGGGAACTTAGCTTCGTGGAAATGAGAGAGGTAGTAGAATATAAGGGGCTCAGACGAGGAGGCACATCTTTAAGGTCTATAACATGAACTCTCAATCTCTCCCTTCCCTCTCCCAGGAGCCAGCTATCTGCTGATGGGCCAGGTGGACGAGAACAGAGGTCCTATCCTTCCTCCAGATAGCTTTGTGGTTCTCTACCGGCCCACCCAGGATAAGATCCTCACCAATCTCAGCAAGAAGAGGTGCCCCGCCCAGCCTGTTCGGGCTGCTAGGTCCCAGGCCTGAAATCCAGGCCAGCCTTGGCCATTGGCCCAAGGGATCCATTTTTTATACAAATAAATATCCCTTGACTGAGGAAGAGTTAACATATCCATCTTTATGGTTTTGGTGCCCATCTTGGGGTTTTCATTCATTCAATAAACTCAACAGACATTTATTATACAGAATCTTTTACGAGCCCAAGTTGGATCTTATCACCCCTTTGCTAAAAATTCCCCATATTCTCCACACACATGCAAACACACACAAGTGTGTGTCCCCCCCCAATGTATATACACACTTTGAATAATTATAAAGGCAGAGCTTATTAAAATACATTTCATTTTTAAAACTGAGCTATCAGCTTATAAAGTATGTACAATTTTTTGGGAACTCCCTGTCTTTAGAGATGATGGATATATTAATGAGTTTGATTGTGGAATCTTTTCACAGTGTATACAAATCATCAAGTTGTAGACCTTAAATATATACAATTTTTATGTCAAAGATATCTCAAGGCTGTTAAAAAGAAAATTTAAATACTCTCCTACAGTTTTTCATCAGTCTCAAAATAAAATCCCAAGTCCTACTGTGGGCTGAAAGGCTCTGGATGTTCTGCATCCTTCATCCCCCTTACTCTTATCTCCAATTATTGTCTTCCTTAATTAAAATCACCGTTCTAGTCACACTGGCTTTATGACTATTTCTAGTACACTGGCTTTGCCTGTGCTATCCTTCTACCTGGAATTCTCAATTAGATCTCAGCTCAAAGTTCATTCTAGTCAGTCATTTGTTCATTCCAAATCCAGTCATTAGCCCTGGCCGGGTGGCTCAGTTGGTTAGAAATTCTCCCAGTATGCCAAGGTTGCGGGTTTGATCCCCAGTCAGGAATGTCTGGCTGCAGGTGGGGTTTACGTCTGTCCATCAACTGGAAGAAGGAAGGATCTATCATCAACCATTGAATGCAGAAATAAGTGTCTAATAACAAATCGTGGTTTTTTTCCCCCTCTCTCCCAAATAAATAAATAAAAACAAAACAAATGGCAGGCACTGTTTTAGGCACCAATGGTACAACAAAAAAAGTCCCTGCTTTTGTGGAGCAGAGATAAATAGTAAAATAAACATAAGGACAAGTAGCTCTATGAGTGCTATGAAGAAAACATCATGATCAAGAGGACAGATGGGGATTCTACATTATATAGAGTGCTCAGGCAAGGTTTTTGGATAAGATCCACTGTTAACTGTGTGGCCTTGGGAAAGACTGTTCACCTTGCTGAGATTTCCTTGTTTGTAAGAGTTGAATATATGGAATGGTAATGTATGTGACAATGATGATGATGATGATGAAAGTGGCAGGGTTGGTAAATCTTAATTCCCTGTGTAAATGTGATTTCCGAATCCCGTGCAGAAAGGAGAGAATCAGGAGCAGAACCCAGGGCTGAGAGTTGAGTCCAACTGGGAGCAACTTCCAACTGTAGGACACGCCTTTGGTTGCCGCAGAGGCTTCCGGGAGAGCCTGAGATTGAAGTGGAGAAAGAGAGGGCTTTGTGGGATGGAAGTCTAGCGATCTGACGGCCTCAGAGTGGGACAAAGGAACAAAGGCCGCCCGCGTCTCCCGGAGTAACTGCAGGGCTAGAATTCTAGACAGAGACGTCATTTTCTGACACTAGAATCTAGTCAATCCCCCTCTGTAAACGCACCAATCGTCATGTACGTATGGCGGAAACGGCGCCACCCTGGCCAATGACAGAAGCCGTGTGGCGGAAGTACCCAAAGGCCTTCGGGCAGGGGGCAGCCGCCGTCTGCTCACAAATTGATTGACAGGTGCTGTGACCAGAAGGTGAGCATCGGAGCGAAGCCCAAGGAATCACGTCCCGGGCTCAGGGAGGTGTCGGAGTTACAGATACCACAGATACAGGTCTCTGCGGGGCGGGCGGGAGAGCAGATCGGGAGGAGACCCCGGGGCAGGCGGAGTCTGGCCCAAGCTGGGCGGAACCCCGGACGCCCGGAAGGGGCGGGGCCTAGCGGATGCGGCTCTCGGAGGTTTGGAGCCCCGCCTAGAGGCCGCCCGGGCTGGGGAGCCGCAAGGGGCCGGGCTTACCGGGTGGGTGTGCCCATCGAGGTGGGGCTTGGAGGCGGGGCCTAGAGGGACTGGCCGAGCTGGAAGAGTATCGGTAGCTGCTTCTGTCTGCGGGACCCTCCTCGCGTTCCAAGGCGGTGGTGGCCCGCCCCACCATCTCGTCCATTCGCTTTCGCCCCTCTCGTCCCCCAGCTCTAGATTCCAGGCCCTGTCCCCCGAGCTCAGCCCTCGGATGTCCCACTGCCAAGAGCCTGCATGCGCCGCGGGGCGCCCCAGGACCAGGAGCTGGGGGGTCCCGGGGCGCCGGGGCGCGGGTCCCGGGGTGCCCCTCCTCCCTCGGGACCTGTCGTCCCGGTCCTCGTCTTTCCCCCCGATTTAGTGTTCAGGGCGGACCAACGGAGCGGACCCCGGCAGCTGCTGACCCTCTATAACCCCACGGGAGCGGCGCTTCGCTTCCGAGGTGAAGGGATGGGCGCCTCATGCTGGGGGGCTGGGGGCTGGGGGCAGGACATTGGGGGTGTCGACGTAAGGAACATGCAGATCTACAGAGGATTTTTGTGAGTTTATTTGAGCCAAACTGTCGACAATTGCTGGGAAACAAAAATCTCAACGGATTGAGATAATGCTCTAGAAAATGGCAGTTTTGCATCTTATCAATATTTTACACATTATAATCAAAAGACTAGTGGATTACATGATATCCATTGGTGATAGATTGAGGAGATGGGAGAAGGCAAATTGGGGAAACCTCTGGGATTGGATGAAAAGTAAAAAGGTAGACACATCTTTTATGTAGGTGGGTACAGGATAGTTAACAGTGAATAATTAACATGTTAACAGTAACAATGAGGATTTATGGTTTCAGCCCTGGTACATTGGTTGTGCCCTGAGGGGTCTGGGAAAAGGGAAGTTACCCTCATATTCCAAAGGAATATTATCTTAAATTCAAAAGGCAATAGACAGGCTTAGTTAAGGTAAAGATTGACTTTTGTCAGGGAAGATTTTAACCTAGCACATGACTTTCTGCCCTAACGGCTTTTAGTTAAAAAGCTTTAACTTCAAATCCTAACTTACTTTAGGTTTCTGAGTTTGCAAGGCTGATCTTGGCAGGTTAGTATGTGGTCCCTTTTCGTCCACATGGTCAGAGGGCCAGCCTTGGTGGACCAGAAGAGTCATGTCTAGTCCTGGGGGTAGAAGGCAGGGGGACTCTATTGCCCCTTAGTGGGAAAGGTTTGTGTAGGGTCTCAGAAGCAAGAGTCAGTCTCTCTGTGCTTGTACCCCACAGTCCTGTGCACAGCACCTGCCAAGTACACCGTGTTTGACGCAGAAGGATATGTGAAGCCGCAGTCCTGCATTGACATGTAAGTGGGAGGGTGGAGAAGCCAGAGGCTGCTGCTACCTATCTCTGAGCAACTGAGCCATGGTCTAAGGCTGGGGTGGGGAGTGTCCAGCCCAAAGGCAGTACAACTGAGCCATGGTCTAAGGCTGGGGTGGGGAGTGTCCAGCCCAAAGGCAGCAAAATCATTTATTTTGTCCCTGCCAAGGCAACCACAGGCAGGACTCAAAATTCATAAATCTAGGAGCTTTTTTTTTTTTTTTTTTTTCATAGCAACATAAATTTACATTAAGCAGATAATATTATAAATATACAAATGGCCTTGGCAGAAGAAAGGTTCCTAACCCCTGGTCTAAGGTCTCAGACCTGGTCCTCTTCAACTTTTTTCCCAACCCTCTGCCCGTAACCCAGTGGGAAAGTTTCCTGGGAGCGGGGACCTGGATCTACTTGGTTCATTGCCTATCACTCACTTCCTCGCAATGGGCCTCTCTCCCATCTCGGGACCAGTGTGATCCGCCACGTCGCTCCCATTGCCAGCCACTATGACGTCCAGGACCGCTTCCGCATTGAGCTGTTTGAGGAGGGAGCTGAGAGCCGAGTGTTGGGGCGCAAGGACATCACCTCGGTTTTGAGGGCCCCAGCCAACCCCCTTGAACTTCAGGGACAGCCTGACTCAACGCCACACCCAGGGCCTCCTTCCTGGACAGCACCACCTACAACCAGACACCTCCCTGAAAGTGAGTTGGAGGATGGGAATTTTTGAGTTCTATAGGGAGGAAAGACCTAGCATTACTCTAGAGATGAGCTTGGTTGGAGTTGCAGAGGTCTTCAGGTTTAGTTTATTGGCTTTTTGTGGAAATGTTCCTAGGAGTTGAGATTTTATATTACACTAAAGGCCCGGTGCACGAATTCATGCACCAGTGGATTCCCTCAGCCTAGCCTGTGGGATCGGACCTAAACTGAATCTCTGACATCACCCAAGCAGTCCAGGATTGCAAGAGGGTGAGGGTGCACTATTGGGGTGGGGAGGGATGCGGGAGGCTGGTCAGCCAGGGACCGGAAGAGGGCTCCAGGGCTTCCTGGTCTTGCTTAGTCCCGATAAATTGGCCAGACCCCAGGAACAAGCTAACCTACAGGTTGGAGCGTCTGCCTCCTGGTGGTCAGTGTACGTCATAGTGAGCAGTTGAGCTGCCTTAGCATATCATTAGCATATTACATTTTGATTGGTTATATGGCTGACCAGACACTTAGCATATTAGGCTTTGATTATATAGGATTAGGGAATAAACATAGTTTGCAGTTTACCTGGTTTCTGGCTTCTATATTTATTATAGATGGGAAAATTCTTCCTTATCTTTAACTTTAATACTTTCTATTATATGCCAGCTCAGTTTGGTTCCATAAAAAAACCTGTACTGAGCAACTATACCACTCCAAGTTGTATGCTGAGTCTGGGAAAAGGAGTTTCGTGCCTAACAGACAGGTGCACAGAAACCAATAATCAGGCAGAGTGAAGAGAGAAGAAAAAAATCGCTGAGGGACCAGAGGAGAGAGGGTTTCTTGTGGCTGTGGGGACAGAGGCTTTAGAGAGGAGAGGACATTTGCATTGTGTGCTTCTGAAGGACAGTAAAAGGTCTGCAGCCTCCTTCCAAGAGAACCTTGGGTTGGGGAGGAGTTTGGTCTGGAGCTTCTGACAAGCCTTGTTTCCCAGAATCCCACTCACAACTGGCCACCAGCTCCTTCCTCCTGTTCTTGCTGACCGGCATAGTTTCGGTGGCCTTCCTGCTGCTCCCACTCCAGGATGAACTTGGCAGCCAGCTGCCCCAAGTCCTGCATGTCTCCCTGGGACAGAAGTTGGTGGCGGCCTACATCTTGGGTGAGCACAGTAGTGGTGAGGGGATCTGAGCCCAGAGAAAGAGGGGTAGGGGCTGGGAGGAGGCTCCCAGAGCTCCAGGACTACTCATTGTTTCTTGCTCTTTATTTCTCCCCTCTCCAGGCCTCCTTACCATGGTCTTTCTCCGGACCTGAGCCCCCTGCTCAACCTCCACCCTCTCCCTGGGCAGGGATGTGGACATGAGACAGCCACTGTGATGCTCATACCTTGCCTCGACTCCTATTCCCTTTTTCCTGCCACTCCCTTCACCCTTGACAAAAAATACCCAGGGATTTGTATTCATTTTCCAAGTTGAATAAAAGAAATTTGCAAAATTAAACTGAGGGATGTAGGGAACATGCCCCTTTCTCCATACTTCTTTTTCTCCAGTTCCTCCTACTCCCATCCCTAGGGACCCAGGTACCTGGGCCAGTGAAGAGGCCCAGCAAGGATTAAGTCCTGGGTTCTGGTTCTGGAGCACTGAAAAACTATGACCTTGAGCAAGTCCTTTCATTTCTGTGAGCTTCAGTTTCCATCTCCTAAATGAGAATATTGAGAAAGTTGATTCTCCCCGTCCCTTTCTCTATATCCAATGGGTCTGTTTTGTTTTGTTTATTCATTTGTTTTGATTTTTAGATTCCATATATGAAATACAATATTTATCTTTGACTTATTCACTTAGTACAATGCCTTCTGTGTCTATGTTATCACAACTGTCAGGTTTCATTCTGTTATGGCGGAGTAATATCCCATTTTGTGAATATATATATCACATCTTTTATCCATTCATCTATTGATGGATACCTAGGTTATTTCCATATTTTGGCTTTGGTAAATAATGCCACAATGAACATAGGGATACATATGTTTTTTTAAATTATTGTTTTTGTTTTCTCCAGATAAATACCCAGAAGTGGTATTGTTGGGCTGTATGGGAACTCTATTTTTTAGGAATCTTCATACTTTTTGCATAGTGGCTGCACCAAGTTATAATCTCTGGGAAAGTTGATTTAAAAAAAAAAATATATGAGTCTAGAGAGGAAGGAAGAAGGGAAGAGAGAGAGAGAGAGAGAGAGAGAGAGAGAGAGAGAGAGAGAGAGGGAGAGAGAGAGGTCAATGAGAGAAACATCAGTCAGCTGCTTCCTGTATGCCCCCTATTGGGCATTGAGCCTGCAACCCTGGCATGTCCTCTCATGAGGAATCAAACCCACAACCTCTTGGTGCAGGGGACAATAGTCAACCAACTGAGCCACACCAGTCCTGGTGAAAGTTGAATCTTGAGATCCCCGTTAGCCCTTTAAGATAGGATCCTGTCCCTATGCCAACGAACCTAAGCTAAAAAGAAACAATAAAAAATACCGCCTGCTTTAGAGCTCTAGTCTCACTGTCTTGAGCCATTGAGGCCTCTTGCCAGGGCTGCCTGGATGCTTCCAATCCCCATAATCATCTGCCTTTTTGTCCCTTTATCTTCTTTTACTTTGTTTCTTCGATTTCAACTTCTGTGGGTCAGAAACACTAGGGTTACTGAAGATGGGGAGAGATAGCATTGCCTGATATAACTTAAGTGAGCCACTCAAGAGACAGGAAGCCATGGTGAAAAAATAGGATCCTTGAAAGGCAGCCATTAAGCCCACCTTCAGATGCATAGGGAAAAGGGCAGATTTGATTAGGGATGAAAAATTAGCAAGATAATGCTGAGACTCTAGTCTGTTATGCTGCTGGAAGACAATTATCAGTTGTTATAGCTTTTGGGGCCTTGGAAGCATTTTTATTTTGCAACAGACCTTACAAAATATGTAGCTGTCCCTGGTCCCAGGAAAAGGTACAGAGCCAGCCCTCCACTCCATGGTGGTCTTTGGGGGAAACCACCTTTTCTTAGGCATTTTCCTCCTTTACATAATGAGACATCTGAGTTTTCCCAATGGATTCAGCATTCCCAGTTTCATCCTCTCCGTCCCCTTCTCAATCCTTTCCTATGTCTTAAATAAGGGATGACTGGGTGGGGTGAGTGAGGAAGCATAAAGGTGCTTACAAACAGATGATTTATTGAATTTCAGACCTCAGCCCCTTCTACCACAGGCCACATGTTAGCCATCGGCATGGTCCCAGCCATCTCTCCCGCCAAGAAAACTGGCCAGGTCCCCGGAAACCTTCCAGTGGTCTCTAAGTATGGGGCACCTGGCTCCTGAAGGGGAAGGGGCTGTGACTGATGGAACAGATGCTGCTGTCTGATTAGCTGACAGTATGAGCCTCCCTTTTGGAAGGCACTGCTCACCTAATCCTACACTGGAGGGCCAAGGGTGTGTGGGATTTTACACTGGGCCCCTAAGGAGGCAGGAAGGGCTAATGAGAAATCGGTCAGCAATGAGCGTTGCTGCACAGTCACCCAGAAATCGCTCAAGTGGGAAGAGCAGGAGCTCCCCCTGGGGCAAGAGCATTAACCCCACTCAGAAGTTGTTATCTATGCTCCAGACATCCCCGCTGAGTGCATTGGCGGCCCCCTGCAGCGTCCAGGTGAGCAGGGCCAGTTGGCGACGAAATTGGCTTTCCTGGAAGCCCAGGCCAGGCGCCACCCCGGAGGTGGCAGCCCCTAGGGAACTGCTGGCGCGGAGCAGCCGCACGTGGTTGAGCAGGGCGTCCAGCGTGTGATCTCCTTGGCCCAGGAAGATGTGTCGGAATGGGGAGTCAGCCGGCGACACGTATTGGGACAGGAAGTAGTATTCCACCTGAACAGAGAGGGGAGCCAGGTCAAGGTTGGGGCTTGCCCCTCTCTCCCCACCCCAGCAAGCTAAAACCTGAACAACAATTCCAAACCAAGATTGGGACCTAGTTCTGGCTTAATAAACACTAGTGAGCAATTTAAGTCCCACCTCCCTTTGGCTACCCAATCAGGAATGGCTACTCTGCGATGTCACCAATAGCTGAGTAGTATGTTGTCCAGTTTTGGGTTGAATTCCTTTCTTTTTACCCCTTGAACCTCCAAGTCTGCATCTAGGTCTCCCCATTCACTTCCCTGCCCAGAGCCCCAGAGAACAGTATCATCCTACTGTTTCTCACTTTCTCATACCCCAGTCATATCGCCTCACCTCTGCCAATGTCCATAACCCAGAGTCAAAGGTCAAGGGGGACAGCCCAGTCCTAATGAAGAACCTGACTGCCCTCACCACCCTCTGACTCAGATACTGTTTATCTTTTCTGAGGTGGCCTTGCTCTTACCCCACCTCTCTGCCAGCCCCTCTGGTTCCTTCTGCTCCCACCTGTGAGCTGGCCCAAGGTTTGACCTCTACCTTCTACTCGTCTCGTTACCTACAATCCAGTGTTGTTTTTACAATCCTGGCTGCATATTCAAATCATTAGGGGAAGATATTTAGATTACCATTACCTGGTTGCCACCCCGTCAAAATCAGAATCTCACACCCATATCTTTCAAAGGCCTCATTTGTTCAAAGAACTCATCCATGCCCTTAAACTTGTGGGGACAGTGGCAATCCTGCCCATTAGCCTTCTGGGCCTCCTCACTGGGGTAGCGGCACCTGGACACAGCCTCACACACATGTGGACACCAACACCTTCCAAAACCTGACCCTTGCACCCACATTCCTTGGTGAGCACCATGGTCTTCCCCAGGTGCCAGACTCTCAGCCTTGGAGATGAGTGGGAGTGGGGTGAGCACAGACTTCGGAGTCAAACTGCTTGGTTTCTAATTTCAGCTCTACCACTAACAGGTCTGGATACATCACTTAGCCCATCTGAGCATCAGTTTCTATGTGCCATATCAGCAACCTCACAGGATTTGGGGTGTAGTCCTGAGAAAGTAAAGCTGTAGTATTTGGTAGCCCTCAATAAATGGCAGCTGCTATGATGATTCTGCTCCTCTTTCGTCAACACTCAGACTCTCCATTTTACTTCCAAATGTAACATCAGTCCAGTCCCATCACCATAGGTGGCATATGCTGCCCTCTGCCACCCTCACCCAGAGCTCAGTCATCATTAATAGCATTCTCTCTTTCAGGCCATTAACATTCTGGCCAAATCCTTCCAAAAATTCCACTTTGCTCACATCACCTTCCTGCCCAAACACCTTCCTAGTTTCCTTGATGCCCAGACCCTAAAAATTCAAAGTTCTTATTTTGGTATTCAGGATTCCCCATAGTTGGTTCTTATCTCACTGCTTGGTGCTCCTCCCCACTCAGATTCTCCATGGAGCCTCTAATCACACTCTGCTGGCCCACACACTGCTCACAGGGAGAGCCCGGCCCCATCTCACTGCCTCAGCCTATCCTGGGGCTCTCCACCCTGGAAACTCTTTTTTGCACCAGCTCAAGTTCTGTCTGTTATTCAAGACCCATGTCACAGTCTAAAGCCTGGGGTCAGCAAGCCGTTTATGCAAAAAGCAAGATAGTAAACATTTTAGGCTTCTCAGACCATTCTGTTTCTGCAGCTACTCAACTTCGCTGCTATAGCACAAAAGCAGCTGTAGACAATATGAAAACCAATGACCATGGCTGCATTGCAATAAAACTTCATTTATAAAAACAGAGGGCAGGCCAAATTTGGCTGGTTGGCTGTAGTTTACCAATCCCTGGTCTAGAGCCACGAAGTTCTCTGGGCTTGGCCTAGCCGTGTATTGCAGGTTCTGAAGTTCTGAGTCTTTTCCTCTCCAGCCTGAGTCTGAATCCTGTGATCCCTTACATGGGGATGCTTTTAGCTCTTGGGAGGAATCTTTGAGAATGGGATAAGGTAGGGGTGTTGAACTCAATCAGAGAAGGGGCCAAAATCTAAAATCCAGCCTAAATCGCGGGCCGAATGGTTTACTGAACAGTCATAAACTGTCATTGTGATGGAAACGCAGCGGAGTGCAGTGATGACAGCGCGGTGCGGGCCACATTGCAAGGCCTGGCGGGACGGATTTGGCCCGCGGGCCTTGTGTTTGACACATGTGGGATAAGGGGTGTGTGTGTGTGTGTGTGTGTGTGTATCTTTCTGTGTTCCTGGAGCCTGGCACATCAGGGGTTAAAGCAAGATCTGAGAATGAACCGTGCCCAATTTCTTGTCTCACTTAGAGTCACAAGTCTTTGTGGAAGGCACATAGGGAAGGGGAGAAGGAGAAATGAGGAAGGGGGAAAGGAAGAAGAGGATACTGAGGAGAAAGGAGGATGAGAGAGACCAGGAAAAGGAGCAAGTATGAAAGAGCATGAGGGATGAATTTGTGAACAAAGAAGAAATGAGTGATGCCGAAGGAAATGAGCAGGAACCCAAGCAGGAAAATGAATGCGGAGAGAAAACACATGCTCTCCCAAAACTGTTCTGTGAACACTCCGGGTTCCCTGCTCATCCACACTCAGCGTGGCTAGGGC